AGACAAATCATTCTTCAGGCCGTTGATTTTGATGATTCAAAAGCCTGCAAATCCTGTTGAATGGTGGTCAAAAGTACTCGAGTCGTTGCGGGTCGTAATGGCGATTAGTAATGCTATGATATTTCATGCCATCAAGGGTGTTCTTGTTTCCAAGATGTGGGTTTTCTTTATATTCGGGGCGATCACTACAATATACGATTCTTGGGCGTCACTAATTCAAACATTGTCCTGTGTGCTCAGATCGGCCAATACTATATTTTAATGCAGAAACGTTACTATTGTATATATATATATATATATTCTATCAGAAGCCGAAGTCAAAGGCACTCATGTCTGGTTCTTGGAATGCTGTGGGTGGAGGTGGTTGAGCCTTGATCTTTTGAGTCATGTTTTCAGGATGAATGCCATTTTCAGTAAATGATAATGTGTTTTGTTGTTCATTTGATTGATTCGTGTTCTTGGTCGTATTATTTGACCATTTAATTTCATTCTTGGATTCATCATATTTGACGAAACTCCAATTTCTAATTAACACCACTGCTAAGTAATCACACCCCATTCTTGTATATATCGAACAAACTTTTATAATGAAATTAAATTCCTCGTGTGGTGCGATAGATAGTGATCCTTTCAAGTACTTTACTGTTTTCTGTCTTAAAGCATGGAACAAAATAATTAAGACCGGGTCGTCTTTCAAGAAACTCATACTTGAAAATCTTGGTGTGATTTTGCTAATATAATTTTTATAACAATCATCCGAAAATTTTGCTTTATGATGATTAATGATTTCTATAGGCGATTTAATTAATGCTTGGATTGATATTTCATTCTCTTCCAATTCCCAAAATATCCAACTAGTTATCCATCTATCTCCATTCTTCAATACATCTGGTACCATATAATTTTCGATCAAGTTCTTAATGATTGCACTCTCTGAAATTGTACCCTTGCTCGTGGCCGCGTAAATTTTAGCTATAGCTATCGCTAATTGTACATCATTCAATTTCGTAGCTATTATATTACAGCAATCCTTCAATGCATCTGCTAAAAGAAAAAAATATGCTGCATCAATATATCTATGTTTGCCCATTAATACGTACGCATTTTTCAATGCAGCAGATTTCCATCTTGATTCATTAAAATCGTTTGCTAGAAACTTTAACATCTTTTGCTGTTCTGTATGGCTGACTGTCCTCCATAATCCAATTAAAACTTGTTTCTTACGAATAGCTAAATAAAATAATGAAACTCTTCCCGATGGATCTCTTGTATCACTAAATTCATTTCTAGCACATGATTCCATGATTTTTGTCAATCTTATCGTTTCAACCCAATAAACAAGTCCTGTCTGTTTGACATTTTCCCATTTAAGTCTATTTTTGAAGTACTCTTCTACCATTGTGAGTAGCATTTCCTTATTATCACTATGTAAAGCCCAACTGATATCTCTGGTGGTTAGCTTTGATTGCTTTGAAGATAGCTGAAACAATTTAAAGCCCATTAGAAATCTTAGTCCATTCTCATCCAAGGATATTAAGTATTTTCCGAGTTCCCTTACAATTGAAATTATTGAAATTAACGTGATTTGTTGGTGTCTTGTTAACAAAGGTAGAGAAATTTTCATTAACTTCTCAATTAGTAAATCCAGTAAATTATCATTGAATGAGTTGAATATATGAATACCTGACGAATCGAATTTGCTTGACAAAGCATCATTAATTATATCAATCTTACTTGACAAAGAAGGCGTACTTGCTCCACTTTGCCTTGATTCGTTATTTTCAAACACTTCGTTCGTCAAGTCCATACTCAAATCCCATTGGATTGAATCACCTTTCCGTAATATTTGGAATAATCTGACAAAAACATCTTTCACCAATGAAATCTGATTCATGAATAAACACTGTATTAAAAATTGCGGATGATATACAGGCAACGGACCATTCAAAATTCTAACTAATTGTTCGATATCGTAAATCAAATCATTAGTAGATTTGGTTTCTTTTTGTGACGAATCATCGTCCTCATTTTCCTTGTTAGTGTATCCTACCATCAATTGACGTATTGTTGAATCAAGTGAATTGTTAGCAGAGCTGCCAAGCTTTACCCATTTATCGTCAATAAAAAATTGATTACCACAGCCTATGACCAAATATCCATCATCAAGCCAAACCAGATCTCCAATCTCATGCGATGTATAATTTGAGATATCGATCTTTTTTAGTACTGCAAATGTTGGGATCTTATTAGTATAATCATAACGCAATTGTGTGTATAGTAAGACAAATCTCAGGAAACCAACTGACAATATAGCGTTAGATGTCAGTCTTTCTGAACTTGAAGTAATGAATGTCCAATCAAGATCTGTTACAGGACCATAACTATCGTCAAATGTTTCTTCGTATTCCAAGACACCAGATTTGGTATCCCAAATTGTCAATCGAGAGCCCGCCTTGTCAACTATAGCAAACTTATTGATGACTGATGCTCCGTGAATTTTACTGGCTTCCGATATATTGGTATGAAGCCTATAGGTCTCAATCCATTCTAATGAATCCCGCGATTTTGCAAAGTTGATTGCAAAAAACTTCACCTTATCTTGCTTATCTATCACAGACACCAAATTTCTTTCACCTTTGGATACAAATGAATCAATTAAGGCTATTTGATGGATCTTTTCATCTTGTGGTAAATTGTTAATATTTAACGGCTTCAAGCTAGTAGATAATGGTTGAGTATTGATATTAATTATGAGCTTCCATGCTCTTACCAAATCATTTTCAAAAATCGCAATTATGCAATATTCTTTTGTATGGTTAGATTCACTAGGAAATTCCGTCATTACAAATGTTCTAGGTTCCCTAATTATACGTTCATTAATTGAATTCAAAATTTCTAACCTTTCCAAAAGAGCAGCCTCTTGAATATCCAATGTTAACGCATTGCAATCCCATAAACTTATAAGCCCACTTTTTTCCAATGCTACCACTAAGTGATGTCTCCCAATTTTATTGGGCGGTTCAATATCATTCAACAAGACACCGTCCCATATTCCTTGATTTTTTTCGTTTATATTAGAGCCGTGGTTTAAGTTAATTTGAAATTTTTTAGTTATGGTCATACTTTCAGTATTCGAAGAACCAATCAGTAAAGGTTCCCATAAGTAGTTGTGTTCAGGAAAATTCAGAATCGAAAATAAAATATTGTTAGATGCAGATGAGGAATTTGATTTAACTAATTTTCGGATTGATTTAGTATGGCCTTGAAATTTGTCAATCAATTTTGCACCTAGAACGGATGAATCTGATTTTAAAATGTTCTTAAAATCAAATGCATTAAATCTAATTGTATTTTTTAGCCTATCATGGATTAATATCGACAATCCAGTTGAGTCGTCGTTATTATCTAAAAATTCTAGTTCAGGGAAAATAATTGGTTTTAAATTTATCAAAAATTCCTCACTCTGGATTATTTCTTTTGTCAAATTTTCAAACTTTGTATAATTAATTCCATTGGGAAACGAATTCTTATCGAAACTCATATTCGATTGATCCAACCTCTCAAATTTAATTGCATTTGGCGGAGTCAGTGAAATATTCAAAATAGAATAAATTGCAACCTTTCCTTGCTTACTTATGACGAACAAAAGATCTAAATCATTCAAGTTCTGGTTTTCAAAATACTTATATATATTGGAGCTTCCATTGCCTGCCTCTATTTGCGGGATTAAAGTCCTCTGAAGATGAAAATTGTCTATTGTAACCATAGAAATTATCTCATCGTCCACGAAGCACTCATTCAAGTCTAAGGATGCCCATGATCTGAAATGGTTGTGGCCACTAAATTCATAAGCTGCCCATACTCTCAATATATTATCATTTGTCAACGTATATATTATATCATTATCATCATTACCATTATCAATGTACCCACGAATATTTTTTATATTTGCCATAGAACTGTCTACAGTATTAATTGAAACAGATGGGATGCGATACTTCCATTTGAGGTCGGTCACATACGTATTCAAGGGATGATTCAAATAAGAAAGTTCAAACAAAGTATTCTCACCATAGTTAATTCTAGACCATACTTTTACCAACCGTTCATAATTACCGCTAAGGGTTATGATTTTATTGGAATTGTTTGTAATTTTGATGTTTGTAATGGGGTTTGCTTGAACTGAATGCCATCTCTTTTCATATCTCAAGGATCCATACTCATCGTAAATGTGGTAAAGTGCTAGCGATTCTTTCGAACCCACTATAAGCTCATCTTCCAATGGCGCCCATTGTAAGCAGTTTATCAATGTAGAGTCAACGTTATCAAATTCTAAGGCATGAGACCACTGCGGTTTCAGCATGTATTCATTAAGTGGCTTATAGACAACAATATTATTCCCAATTGAAATAACAATGAACCCGTTGGATGAATTGATATCAATTGCATACGGATCCGCTTCCAAGTAGATAGTTTGTAAATGATCTGACTTTTTACGCTTTGTACCATCAGTTGTTGTGGTGTATATGATCAAATTGTTCCCAGACCCATAAGCTATTATATGATGCGATTTCCATAATCCTTGCAGCACAGAGTACGGACTATTATTTACCTCCCCTGGTACAAAGTTTATAGTCATTTCTAATCAGAATTATTTAAGTTTGGCTGTAAGAACTATTAATGTACATAAACACCTAGATCTGTAATGTAAACTGGGAGATACGTTTTAGCTCAATATATTTCCACGTAAGCTCCAATTAACGAGTAATAATAAACTGATTAAATCTGTACTTAAATACTTTGGTATTTTCAAAGCTCTATTCTCCTTCAATTCGAGTTAGCACGTTGATATCAAGATGAGAGGTATGGTGTTCTATAGGGTTAGCTCAGTGAATGCTTTAATCTTAGTCCTGTATATAATGGTTCGATTTTATATACGGAAATATTTCTATTATCAATGATCATGTAATTTATATTCATTTTAAACTGAAGGATTCAATATGGGTGCAAGGTATGTAAAGGTTTCGATATTCGAATAGCCGATGGGTAGTTAGAACTCAAGTCTGTAGTTAATCGAACTATCGGGTTGAAACCTAATCTAAATTAAAAAATGACGTTTTCAACAACATACTAACATTTTATAGTTGTAAAGACCAAAAGAAAGCTCTAGCTATTTGCTTGCAAAGGTCGCCTTGTGTTCTTATAGAGAGAAACACACCTAAGAAATGTTTATCGGATCCAGAGTTAAAGAAGGACCTTCCAGAATTATGTATCGCCAACTTTCGTGCATTCATGGAGTGTAGGAATGGTATGTTTGATATGAGAAAGAGAATGAAAGGTAATGCACCATTATCTACTGGTAAGTATGACGACACTTATGAGAACTTATCATCGGGAAATTTCGAGGCTCATGAAGAAATGAAAAAATTGGAAGTGTTAAACAGAAATTTATCTAGGCAAAGACTCTTGAGGGAAGAGCAAGAGAGGGCAAGATTGGCCGGGACTTTGGAAAAAAACTAAGAACTAATAATAGAATATCCCATTTATTTTCAGACTCAGATCAAAAGTGTTCAAAAATTCAGCTGGTGCTAAAATCTTTAATTTAGCTTGTAAATAGGAAAATATATCTATCTATATCATATATGATGCGGATAAAGATGATATAGGTCATACTAATAAAGGTCATATAATGTATCCCATAACAGTATAGCGATAGAAATATACTTATAGTAATAGTGTATTCTGACTACATTGAGCATAGTACCTATGTCTTTGAACAGATTTGCCTATGCCTACATTCGTATAAGACAACAGATATTGCAATAATGAAACGATTGAAGAGCACAGTAAATGAGATATATACTTCAAGATAGTTATCGTTATCAACTAAGTGGATAAAATCATGTATGTGTCGTCCGTTACTTAATCCGCGGCCTGCCCTGACAAATAATCAAGCATAATGACAAATGCTCCACAGTATTGAAAATTTTGATTTTTTTGTAACCCATACTGGGAATATAAATTCAATATTATTTTGAAATAAAGACAATAAAGTGGTAACATAGAACTAGATTAATACTGGGATTGAAAAAATGACTAAAATAAGCTGTGATATAGAATCGGATAGAGTTGCAGAGCTCGACAAATTGTTAGGCTTGATAAAACCTAAAATCCTTCACTACATCGATAAGGCTGATCCAAATTCTTCCAACTACGAAACTGACTCTTTAGGAAAATATCACAGTCCGGAATTTTTAAAAGACCAGTTTACTGATGATAAACAGTTAGATAGCGGTATTAAAGGTGATTATGAAAAATTATCCAGTACTATTGATCAGGTCTTGAAATACTCGGTTAACACATGGAATCCAGGATTTTTAGACAAGTTATATGCATCTAACAATCCAATTGGTGTTATATCAGACTTGATACTATCTATTTTAAATACCAATTCGCATGTATACACTGTTTCGCCTGCTTTATCAGTATTGGAAAATTATATTGGTAGAAAATATGCACAATTATTTTTTGACGATGACCAAGAGACCTGTGGGGGACTTACTTTCTCAGGTGGATCATGGTCAAATATCACATCGATGCAAATTGCACGAGCATTGAAGTACCCAGATACCAAGGAGAACGGTAATGCCAATTATAAATTCGCCATTTATACTTCGGAGCACTGTCACTATTCTGTTATCAAAGGTGCTATTTTGTTAGGTTTAGGATCCCTGAATGTTTTCAAAATTAACATTTTGCCAGACGGGAGCATGGACGTGAATAATTTAAGCAAGGTTATTGAAAGATCAGTCGAACAGGGGTACACACCTTTGTATATCAATGGTACTGCGGGCACAACTGTCTTCGGATCATATGATCCATTTGAAGAGATCTCCAAGGTAGCCAAGAAGTTCGATTGTTGGTTCCATATTGATGGGTCTTGGGGAGGTAACGTTGTATTCTCAGAAACCCACAAGTCCAAAATGAAGGGTTCAAAGTTAGCTGATTCCGTTACAGTTAATCCTCATAAAATGTTAGGAATCCCAGCTACCTGCTCGTTTCTTTTGTTGCCCCATGTTCTGCATTTCCAAAAGTCCATGTCGTTGTCAGCACCGTATCTATTCCACGGTAGGGAAAGTGACGACGATAGTATTGAAAATTATGACTTGGCTGACGGAACTATGGGGTGCGGTAGAAGAGCAGATTCCTTTAAATTCTACATGGGGTGGTTATACTATGGAAAAGAAGGCTTTGCTGACCGTGTTGACCATGCATTTGCCATCGCTAAAGACTTTATTGAAAAGATCAGTAAGAACCCTAAATTTAAATTGGTTATCGGCAGTGAAAAGGATTTACCCGCATGCTTACAAGTCTGCTTCTATTATAAGCCATCTGATTACACAGACCATGACAATACCGAAATCACTCGTTTCATCTCGAGGGAATTACATAAAAGAGGTAGATATTTGGTAGACTTCTCTCCTAACCCTACCGATAAAGATAATGAAGGTGAATTTTTTAGAGTTGTATTCAATTCTCCTACTTTGACCGATAATGTTGTCGATGATTTAATCAACAGCATTATTGAAGTTGGTGCGGAATACAAAAAATAGACAATTTATTTATTTAGTAATATAAGCAATGTTAACAAATATCGTCTGTGACAGTTGGTTGCATCCATTACCTAGGTACTCTGAACTGGTTGCACCAACCGAAAGGTCTCCGCACCATTTGCGATTTATCTATGTTGTAATCCTCAATGACATCATTTTACCGATATTCAGGACTCAAAAGTGCTAGACTCAATGTTCAACTGAATTTGGTTCTCACCAGTAAAAGATAACTGTACAATCGCAACGTAACAATCAACCACTTAATCCGCTGATTTATCTAACACGCAAGAATTTCATTCTAATCGAGTAATAATCATGGGAAATAAGCGATGCAACGTGAAAGCAGCCGTATTCTATTTTAGATTTCAGAAATATACACACCAGTCCAAACTATTAATCATTCGACCAGATCAACCACAAAAGCCTTACGAAAATCAATGTTACGTTCCATTACTATAAGCGAGAAATTCAAGATTAGGTAATTCGTAGTTGATTTTTGTTAAAGGCGTTGATTACGAATGGTCGCAATCGAGCACTTGTGCAAGAATAGGTAAAAAATGATAAGGCAAAACAATAGAGCCAAATGGGAGAGATCTCATAAACATTCAATGTGCCGTGGAATTTATATAGCAGAATTTGAGTTAAATGGGATTTTGTTCACAATGAATCAAATGTAACATGGTCGTATATATGAATTACCCCAGTGCGAATGTAATATCAACGTTCAATCCCCTTTCGAAACTGTGAAGCACTTTATCTTTAGAATATCACATATGACCTATACCCTAATAAGGAATAAATTGAGTCTCTCTTGTATATATATTCAGCGAAGTTCCATTTATTCTGGGAAGTTTTTTTTTTTTGATTATAGAATAGGAAATTTCGGTTGAAAAATTAGGGACATATATATAGAAACTAGTGATGTCCGAGAAAGAAGCTAATACAAACGTTGACCTTGACAGCAGTGTTGAGTCATCCGACCACTATCACCATGATGATAGTCATCTTGAGCTTAAGAAGCATTCGCCAGAAGAAATAGCTTCATCTGGCAAATGGTACGATCGAAGATTTGTTCGGGGTATTCCGCAATACTCTGACTCGATGGTTCAAATCGTAATGCTTTCGTTCGTTGTTTTTATGACACCTGGTATGTACAATGCTTTAACTGGTATTGGTGGTGCAGGTATATCTGATAGGTCTACGGCAGATAATGCCAATGTTGCGTTGTACTCGTGTTTTGCAACTATTGGGTTTTTTGCTGGTACCATCTGTAACTATTTTGGTATTAAGGCATGCTTGATTGGTGGAGGTACTGGTTATTTTCTTTATTCATCAAGTCTCTTGTGCTTCTACCATACAGAGAACAAAGGGTTTGTTATATTTTCGGGTGCTTACTTGGGTATTTGTGCATCTTGTCTTTGGGCTGCTCAGGGGACAATAATTATGAGTTATCCTACCGAAGATAAAAAGGGACGGGCTATTATGATCTTCTGGGTTATTTTCAATTTGGGTGCTGTTATTGGATCCGTGATTCCATTAGCGAACAATATAAATAATAAGGGATCTGCAGTTGGAGATAGTACCTATATTGCATTCATGGTTTTGATGTTCTGCGGTTCGCTTATTGCTATGTGCATGTTGCCAATGAGTAAGGTATGGAAATCAGATGGTACTCGTGTCATGAATAAGAAATTTCCTAGTTGGAAGCAAGAACTTATTGATTTATATCATATGTTGATTTCTGAACCGAGGATTTTTTTCGTTTTCCCTATGTTTTTTGCTTCTAACTGGTTTTATACGTATCAATTTAATGATTTCAACGCCGGTCGTTTCAACATTAGAACTAGATCATTAAATTCGTTACTTTACTGGTTATCTCAAATGTTTGGAGCTGTTATATTTGGGTCTATTTTGGATTTGAAGTACTTTCGCAGAAGTACTCGTGCCAAAATTGGCTATATTATCTTAACTTTAATATCTTTAGCAATCTGGGGAGGTGGATTAAAATTCCAGCTTGGCTTCACAAGAGAGGATGTCACTAGTCCAGATGCTGCTGGTGAAATCGCGCCTAAACTTACTCCAATTGATTTCAAGGATGGCTCATATATTGGACCTATGTTCCTTTATATATTCTATGGTATATTTGACTCCATGTTTCAAACTTATTTATTTTGGATTTTAGGAAGTATGAGTAATAATCCTAAGAAGACTGCTTTATACGCTGGTTTTTATAAGGGTCTTCAATCCGCAGGTGCAGCTATTGCATGGAGATTAGATGCTTTGGAAAAGCCATATATCGACTTATTTGCAAGTTCATGGGGTTTAGTGAATGGTTCTTTGCTTATTGCTTTACCATTAATCTGGTTTAAGATTACTGATCATACTGATATTGAAAAAGATGGCTTGACTAGAGTGGTGACTGATAATGAAATCAAATCAGTCAAATCTTTTCCCCAAGAAGGGACAATAGAAGTGGTCTAATTACGTTAATTCTGTTTTGCTGTATATTACTTTTTGATAATCGTGCTTTTGATGTAAATAATAAGGTTATTTATATTCTAATATAATTTAAATTAAATATCATTGTGTGTTGACCTTAGACGCTGGATTGTAGAGTCTATGTTTTTTACCTTTACTATCCTCCTATAATCTCTTGATTTTCTTTTTTTTTCTTAGGTACCATTCGAATAAATCTTGGACATTCTATTATCATAGTTTTGTAAGAATAACTAAAAAATGAGAAAAAATTACTAATGATGAAATCAACCTCATACTACAAAAATAAATAAAAATAAACAAAACATAGATATTACAAACTAAACGTTACACAACCCAAAGAAATTTGATAAGCTACTAACTTAACATGGCTATAAGTTCATACTTGGAGGGTATATTTAAGTAGGATTTAGCATGAATCACGTGCAAAATTTTGCAACAATCTACTAATATCCATGTTTTGAAATCTAACTTATCAAACAATGTAATTAAGACGTTACTAAGGAAATATGGAAGGATAGGACATAAATGTATTTATGTAAATTTACTATTATGCAAAAACAAAGCTTTACTTTGTTTAGCTCCATTTTAGTGTGGGTATTCGGACGTTAAAAAAAACACGTCATTTCAGGCCCTAACTTTCAATATTTTCTTGAAGAGTAAATTAACTTTATACTTAAAAGTATGAAAGTTTAATGATATAATCATTTCGGCCATAGAGGTTGAATCATTGCATCATATATAATATTACTGTTGAAGAAAGCATCAAACATTTAGTTATATGCAGTAAATATAGCTCATCGTAAGTACTACGTATTTTAATATATAAGTTGTTTATAACAAAGAAAAGTCCTAGAGATAACATAATTTGTTAGAATGCTGATTGATAATGAATCATTGTACCTATACAATCTTACTATAAAGCACCCATCTCTGTGCATTGCGTCGATTGTCGGTCAATTCTTAGGTAATAAGAAATCTCAAGAAATTATACTAGCCAACTCAACATCGATCGAGTTGTGGAAAGCCGATTCGAATACCGGTAAATTAGAAAAGATCTACCAGCAGGCATCATTTGGTATAATACAGGGGATTGATAAAATACGATTAGTTGGTTCACAAAAAGATTATGTAGTAATTACGTCTGATTCCGGAAAATTGGTTGTCTTAGAGTTCGATATAGAGAAGTTACAATTCGTTCCATTATTTCAAGAACCTCATTCAAAGAATGGGTTGAGAAGAACTTCACCTGGTGAGTATCTATGTGTGGATCCTCACAATAGAGCAATCCTAATTGGTGCCATAGAAAAGAATAAATTAGTTTATAAGGTGCAATCGAATGATAAAGGAAAACTTGAATTATCATCACCCCTAGAGACATTTTCTAAACATACATTAACTTTGCAGATATGTGCTATGGATACTGGATTTGAAAATCCGATGTTTGCTGCCATTGAATGTGATTATAATGCACGCCAACAAGACTATAGCGAAGAAGAGAATGGTGAATCATCATTACTTCTAAATTACTACGAGTTAGACCAGGGATTAAACCATGTTGTGAAACATAAATCTAATGAGAAAATACCGGGGTCTTCATCGCATTTAATTCCTTTACCTGACTTTATTGGAGGCTTACTTGTATGCTGCAAATCGACGATTATATATGCTCATCCTTCTAAAGATAAATTATACCTACCAATACCAATAAGGTCAAATACAAACGAGACTATTATAGTGAACCACGTTATCCATAGACTTAAAAAGAATAACTTCTTTATTTTAGTTCAGAGTCAACTAGGAGATTGCTTTAAAATAACTGTTGATCACGATGAAGTGAATGAATCTATTGAAAATATTAACATAACTTATTTTGATACTATCCCGTTATCTCAAAGCCTTAATATATTCAAAAGTGGGTTTCTTTTTGCTAATGTTGCTACCAATAACAAACTCTTTTATCAGTTTGAAAAATTGGGAGATGATAATAACTATACTACGTTGCAGTCTTGTAACTTTTCTGATTACAATTCCATATTTGAATTGGATATATCTAAGCGATCTTTTAAAGTGGCAGGATTAGAGAATTTGGCATTAGTTGATATAATGGAAACTTTGAACCCTATTACAGATGGTGCTTTAATTGAAACGTTACGACCAGAGGTTCCAGACCCGTTTAAACAATTGACAGCATTATCATCACACTCATATTTGAAGACATTAACTCATGGCATCTCTACCAATACTGTGGTGTCATCGCCTTTACCCATTAAACCGACTGCAATACATACAACGAGAATTTTTGCGGAATCTGACAACGATGAATATTTGGTTATATCATCCACGTTGTCTTCACAAACATTGGTATTGTCTATTGGTGAAGTAGTCGAAGAAGTTAATGATTCTCAATTTGTTACAAATGAACCTACAATAAATGTCCAACAAGTAGGAAAATCTTCAGTTGTTCAAATTTATTCTAATGGTATTAGACATATAAAGCATACAATGAGAAATGGCACGATAGAGAAGAAATACACTGACTGGTATCCACCTGCAGGTATCTCGATTATAAAAGCTAGTACAAATAACGAACAGGTTATAATTGGGTTATCTAATAGAGAAATCTGCTACTTCGAAATTGATCCAGTTGATGATCAGTTGGTTGAATATCAAGAAAGATTAGAAATGTCAGGTGGATCGATTAGTGCCCTAGCAATATCATCGTCATCTATCAGTAAATCACAAAGGAAAAGCTCCTACGCGATTGTTGGCTGTTCGGATGAAACGATTCAAGCAATTTCGTTAAAACCTCATAATTGTCTTGAAATAGTAACTTTACAAGCACTATCTGCAAATGCTTCATCCATAGCAATGGTGCCACATGAATATTCAACATTAGTTCATATTGGTATGGAGAACGGATTATATGTCCGTGTCACCATTGATGAGATAACGGGAAAATTATCAGACACAAGAATTCAATTTTTAGGGTCAAAACCGGTTCAATTATCTGTCATTGGATTGCCACAGTTACAACAGAATGGTCTTTTAGCGATTTCTTCTAGGCCGTGGATTGGTTATCATTCTAAGGGGGATTTTAAGATGACTCCGTTATTAAATACGAACATATCAAATGGCGCATCCTTTTATTCAGAAGATATAGGGGGCGAAGGAATAGTTGGCATAGATGACAATAATTTGATAATACTTACTGTTAGTAATACCGATGGCGAAGAATCCGGACTTAATGTAAATGATGATTTTATAATAAACAGTGTTAAATTACGTTACTTACCTAGGAGGATGAATGTTGACAGTCCAGGTGACAATGATACAAGTTCTTCAACATACATATATATAATTGAATCAGAATATGGTATAACATCACCATTCCCTGTCACAATACTTCCAGATAATCAAAAAGAAAGTACTAATGCAAATATAGATACTCCCGAAATCGACCAAGATTATTATGACGCCTTTGGTTTTGAAAGATCAAAGCATTCCTGGGCATCTTGTGTTGAAGTTATTGACTTCAATAATCAAGAAATTGTCCAAACTATCGAATTACCAAAGAATGAAAGTGCCATTTCGCTTTGTCGTTTACAGTTTGAGTCTCGACAGACTAAAAACCAAGAATATTTAATAATAGGTACAACGCAAGACCAAAAATTTTTACCTAACTCGTATTTGAATAATTATTTGTATACTTTCACGATTAACAAATCTTCCAATAAGAATAAAAGCCAAAATGAAGTCTTGGAGTTCGTCCACAAAACGGAGTTGGATTATCAACCAACTGCCATTATTCCATTTAATGGGAAGTTGCTAGTTGGAATGGGTAACTTCTTGCGACTTTATGACCTCGGACAGAGACAGCTTTTACGTAAAGCATCTTCAAATATAGAATATTTGAGAAATATAATAAGGTTAACTCATCAAGGGGGGTCTAGAATTGTTGTTGGAGATTCTTCTATGTCAACTACATTTGTTAAATATGATTCCACGGAGAATCAATTTATTCCCTTCGCAGACGACATAATGAAGAGGCAAATCACTGCTTTAATTACTTTGGACTATGATACCATAATCGGGGGTGATAAGTTCGGCAATATATTTGTTTCTAGAGTACCGGAAACTATTTCACAACAATCTGATAAGGATTGGAGTCTATTGAGATACCAAGAATCGTATCTTAATGGATCGGGATCAAGATTAAAAAATATATGCGAGTTTTATTTACAAGATATACCTACATCGTTCACAAAGGGAAGTTTAATAATGGGAGGAAAAGACAGCATAATATATACTGGGGTACAAGGTACTTTAGGCTTATTGCTACCATTTTCCACAGAGAATGAAGTAAAATTTTTGGGTGATTTACAATTATTATTGCGTAAATACTTTGATTATAATTTTGATGATTTTGATAAGGATAAAAACGGTTACAATTTACTAGGTAAAGATCATTTGAAATTCAGAAGTTATTACAATCCAGTGAAGAACGTTATTGATGGTGATTTAGTCGAAAGATTTTATGAGCTAAGTCAATCAATGAAAATAAGGATTGGTACAGAATTAAATAGAACACCAAAAGAGATTGAAAAAAAGATCTCAGAGATGAGACATAGATCAGCATTTTAGATTGAAATATAGTTTAATAATATACTTAATAAATGAATAATAATACTTTATTGACTAAATACATAAGTAGACATACATAATTAAGATAATATATATATATATTCTGGGACAACGGAAAAAAAAAACAACTTAATGAACTAATTAGCGGTTCCTACCAGGTATCGAATTAAGTTCAAGTAAAAGGCATGTAAAGCTAACAAATTTCTTGAAACATTAATTTATGCAAGATAGAAGAAAAAGACTTTTAACAAAGCATTAAAAATAACTAAGCGTTTATTTCTTCATTTTTCTGTGTATTTAATTCATCAGCATTGTCAGCCTTAGAATTATCGTCATGGTCATTCCTTGATTTGAGCGGTGATAAATCGCCCTTTTCGCTTTTCTCTTTTGCGTAACCATTACTTCCAAATACTCTCCTGTTCAAAGTAGGACTTAATTGGTTATTCTGGTCATTACCCTTTAATGGCGTTTGAGCATTTGGGGTGCTAAACTGAACAAAGTTCCAGAACGCAGGTGATGATTGATTAGTATTAACGCCATTTGCGACACCTAACTTGTTACTTGAAGATTTCGAACCTCGCTCAGGAGTAAACGCTTCTAATGGTGCAATCTTTTTCGGACTCGTGAAGCCTAAGGCAAGATCTGAAGTATTCGTTGTTGGACCGCTTGACACATTTTGAGCATTAGTATTTATAGTATTTGATTCACTGGTTTGGTTGTTTCCCGAAGTATTGTAAGAATTTGGATTATTTTCAGTGAGCTGATGCTGGTGATTATAAGAATTCAGACGAGAATGGTGGGCTTGTGGAGCAGATGTTCCCATAGAATGCGTGGATGGAGGAGGCGGCGGTAAATTAAATAAATGATTACCAGAAACCTTTGGTAGTTTTGGAGTTGTGGTATTAATATCAGACAATTGTCTTATTGGTGATGAGAGTTCATTTTTATTTCCCGGTACCTGTTGAATCGATGGGGATTCGCTCTGGCTTTGATGCATCATATGACCTCCATACATTAATTGCGGTGGTGGTGGGTGCTGATAGCCATACGAACGTGGGGGAGGGACTCCAAAAGAGCCATTCTGAGGTTGTTGATTAGCTATATAGGACAACGGATTGTGTTGCATTGGGTTTGATGGTGCTTGTTGATATTGCATTGGCTGCCCCAATTTTGGTAAAGAATTATTTCTTTGGTGGTTGAATCTCTGATCAAACGAGTTACTTCTAGACGGATCATCTTTTGCATAGTATTTTTGGGATTCTGGTAAATTTTGATGAGTCGCAAGATGCAATTGTAACTGTCTTGATACAGAAGAGCCTCTTCTTGCTTTCAGCAACGACCCACTCTGAATTTTAGTTAAAAAGTCTTCTTTGTATGATTCACTGATTTGCCACTTCATACCTTTACCTGGTTCATTAGGCCTTCTTGGAACTTTCTCAAATGCTTTGTTTAAAGACAAATTATGTCTAATAGAATTTTGCCAACCCGTTTTTGAATATTTATAATATGCGTAATGAGACGCTATCCAATTGTAGATTTCAGACAATGACATTACTCCATCATCATTAGACAAGATAGCTTGAGTGATCATAGTAGCGTAAGAATAAGGGGGTTTAATATCCTTTGCCTCCTCTTTAGATAAATCTTGATCCAAATTATTTTGCAATGAAGTAGCAGATGCTGATGATGGGGATTGGGTCAATTGAGCCTTATCAAACATTTGAAAGCTTTTAATCTGGTTGGATGGATTGATAGGTATAGTGTGTTGCTGGGGAAAATCTGAAATTGATTTTCTCTTTGATTTATTTAAGTTAGCATTATACTTCGCTAAGCAAGTGCTAAGCATTTTTTGCAGTATATTTGGAGGAGAGTCCGGTAATATAAACATCATTTGCGTGCCGCCAATATCTAAAATAGCTCCCGAATGTAACGGCGTAGAGTGATTTTCTCCAAATGGCACCTTCTGACCATCGACTCTGGCACCATTTCTTCCCAAAACCTTCAACTCCCAATATCTCAAATCTAAGTTATAGGTAATCATGGCGTGTTGTCTCGAGACAACCTTTGCGGGTCCCAAATCAATGTCCACCAAGGGCTGCGAACTCCCCCCTGGATTGTCAGTATTTCTGCCAATAGGTATCGACAACGACTTAACATAGTACGTCCAGTCCTGCCCGGCTATTTTCGCATACGCCTGCACTTCAGTAGCTAGATTTTTGTCGTTAGCATATGTCATAGCAACGTTAGTCTTCTCCACAGGGGTCTGCAACGTAGAAATCACCGCATTCACCACATCAAGCGGATCCTCAAAATTTGGCACCTCCCCGTCGTTTAGATCACCAAGCGTACGTTTCCTAGGTGTAGACGTGCCCGACATGTTCTTTCTTTCTTCGTGTTCGTAATTTTCACTTAGTCTATCCAATTAAATATGGTATGATCCACTTTTTCACTACTATTAATAAATGCAATGCAGCCAATCGATTATCGGAATCCTGGATACGAATATATGTTTCTTTAGTGTTTTGGCCTCGTTTATATCCAACTATGGGGTAAACTGCTTTTTTCTATCCTTCTTTGTCAACAAGTGAACCCACAATTAAATGTTCCAAATATCACTATTTTTTCAACTTTTCCACACAAAATTCACTGAGTCAATTGACTTATGTTGTCAGTACCTTCAAATACCTTATCTTGAAAGATAGCCAATAGAATGTGTTATTTCACTAGAGTATTAATGAAATTGGTTTTTCGCCCGTTTAATTTTTCTGTTTGTTTACAAAACATTTTTTTGTTTTGACTTTATTCCGGTTACGACTAATATACAGGGAAACTATACACTATATAAATATCAAACAAAATCGCCAGACGGTTGATCGTAGTCAATAGGGATGATAAAGGAATCTTGGGCCACATCAAAGCCACGGGCGTCGACTGTTTCTTTAGTGACTATGTCGACTATTAAGTCCTCTTCTTCCATTCGTCTTTTATTCAATATGTCCTCGTTAATATAATCGAACTCGTCCTCTTTTTCCTCATAGTCTATGTTTTCTTCTATTTCTACGAAGTCGGGGGCGAGAGCACTCCATTTTTGGGGAAATTGGATCAGCCACAAGTAGATGGAGCCACTGTCCAAACCGGTGGATCCCACGGTGCACCGGTGGTAGTTCCATTTGACGTCTATCAACTCTTCGTTACTCCCTTCCAAAATCTTGATGAGGGAGCCGAGAGACGTTTCCCACATGTATAGGTCCTGGGACGACTGGCCGAAGGTGGAGGCAATCAAGAATTCTGCATTGTGGTTGAAGGTGACCAGGTTCCACTGCAAACGGTTGACTACGTCCTGGTATTTGTGCTCCACTTCGAATTCCCAGTGGTTGGGGTCCGTTATGTTGATCATGTCGGGCAAATTGATCTGGCGGATGATACGGTCGGACGAGTTTATGGCCAATTTTCTGCCGTTAGGGGACACCACCAAGTTTTTGATGTTGGAGTTTGCGATTTTGAACGAATGCACCAATTGCAAGGTTTTGGTCGAGATGATGTTGAGCCACCCCTTGCTGGTACCAGTAAAGATGTAGGTGCCGTCACCTGGCGTGAACGTAGTCACTAATGTCATATGTTTGTCCTTCTTTTTCTTGCGGCTGGCTTTTTCTTCGTCGCTGTCATCTGCTTGGGCCGGTTGTTCTACTTCTCCCGCAGTCTGTTGCAATGGCAAGGGCACTGTACTCAACTGGTGCACCTTGATGTCAGATTCTATGGTCAAGTCCACGAAAACCGGCGAGTCCTCGTATAATGATGCCGTGAACAAAAAATGATTATTGGGATGTAGCATTGCCAGCCATATGGGCCCATCGAACTTGACTCTTCGTATAATAGGCCCGTCCTCCAATTCGTCGCTCTCGTCCCTGTTCACCCGATTCAAGTCCCACAAATTGCAGCACCAATCTTGTGACGATGTTAACAAATACCTGCCGCAACTCGACCAACTGATCGATGACACAGGTCTGGTATGTCCACCCTTCTCCAAATGAGCCACTATGCCTCCGTTACTCGTTAAATCGTAGATTACGATCGACCCATCGCTCAACCCGGACGCCAAGTAATCACCTTTATGATTGAATTGTATTACCACCGAATGTCCATATTGCAATGTATGTGTAAGATTCTCTGGATACTCCTTAGCTACGGCAAACGGGTCTTGTAATGATAAATTCATTACCTTATCGCTTGGATATGAAATTTAGCTTCTTTATAGACCAAATTATATAAAATTTCGTTTTAACGCGGCGTTAAGTTAGTTGAACTAAGAACAGATTGATCAAAAGATAAGTTTATTAGTAAACTACAAACGTAATTGTTGGTTATATTGTCACTGGAGTAATTGATGTCTAATACGATATAGCATATTCAGTGGCTCGAGTGTTTAAGAGGACGGTCATGGTATACTTTCAATCTTTAAATAGATCACACGTATTCTTGGTAGGAATTTTATTACTAATTCAGTTCTCTATTCCCATTCAGGGGTTATTTCATTTTTATACCGATGCTGGTGCAAGACGATGCTTCTACAAAGAACTTGCTCAGGGAACGTTGCTAATAGGGCGATACAAGTTGGAGATTTTTGATGAGGATGCATACGAGTTCTACTCACCGTTGGATAAAATGAACACGGGGATTCTAATTGATGTTGAAGAGAAATTCGATACAGATCATCGGGTGGTGCATCAGAAGGGGTCACCCAGGGGCCAATTTACGTTCAGTGCGTTGGAGTCGGGCGAACATAGGATTTGCTTGACACCAAAGAGCTTTTATAAAAGACGATGGCTTGATGGCGGCGGAAACGACATTGATGCATTGAAGGACCTGAAATTCAAAAAGTCTAGGATTATGGTTGATTTTCTGATCCGAGACGGAGAAATATTCGATACGAAACACACCCACAAGGTCAATTCATTGACAGAACAAGTTAATAGCATAAATGACAAACTCACTGATATCAA